TTATATATACAGGAAGATCCTGGTCTCTTATCTTATATTGTATTGGCTTGACCTCTTACCATTTTTCATTTATTATTGATCATGCAGTGACCAGTGTTCAATTTAATCCAGTGGATGAGAATTACTTCATCAGTGGTTCAATAGATGGCAAAGTACGTATTTGGGGAATTTCTTGCTGCCAAGTTGTTGATTGGAGTGATATAAGAGATATAGTTACTGCGGTGTGCTATCGCCCTGATGGGCAGGTTTGGTGATTTTCTTGCCCTTCAATTATGTAGAAATGTATATGTATCCTCACATATTAAGTAATGCTTATTCAAACACCGTTGATTTCTTGTGCAGGGAGCAATTGTTGGCTCTATGACAGGCAGTTGCCGCTTTTATAATATATCAGGTATGCTTCGACATTCTAGACCTGCGTTCCTCACCCTCCTCCGTATTATTCACGTCCTTTGCCTAGAAACTGAGTAGATGCCCCTGCTCACTTGGAGTTTATGACGCTGGTTTATTAATTCTATCATAACTAATGCGACGTTTCAATTTTGAGTTTGTACTGATGAAGTAGTTATGTGTATCTTGGAACAGATAATCATTTGCAATTGGATGCTCAATTATGCCTGCAAAGTAAAAAGAAGTCCCCGTGCAGAAAGATTACAGGCTTCCAGGTAGTTACTTCCTGACTGCTTTGTTTTCTTTTACACATCACTTTACCTATTCAATAGGGGATCTGAAGTTCAGTATTTTTTGTTATTTTATACAGTTTTTCCCACAAGACTCTAGCAAAGTGATGGTCACTTGTGCCGATTCAAAGGTCAGAATTCTTCATGGTCTATCTGTGGTCGGCAAGTATGCAGGTAGTTGCATAACTTGGTACTTTTAGTTGTAATTGTTTCTTATTTTATTGGTTTCCACCACTCTGATTTTCTAGAGGCAGTTCATTGTGCATATCACTGTTTTAGCATCTGGCTTATGAATTTTATACGTTTCTCTTTTCTAAACCTCGTCTCTCGTCAACGAAATGCAGGAAACCAGACATCTGCTACTTTCACTTCAGATGGGAAACATATAGTCTCGGTTAATGAGGATTCTAGTGTAAATGTATGGAACTGCAATAATCATGAAGAACAAGTTCTCTCTCAAGCAAAAAAGATAAGATCTTGTGAGCGCTTTTCCACGAATGTTTCTGTGGCAATACCTTGGTCTGGATTTAAATGTGGGACCGTAGAAAATGAGAGGCAATTTCAGGCTGTCGATGAGAATTTACCAGAGAGACTGCCTTTTTCCTCACCTGCATGTTTTGCTCTCAGCCAAGATTCTTTCCTTCAGTCTATTCCCAAGGGATCTGCGACTTGGCCAGAGGAGAAGCTTCCAACTTCGAGCCCACTGGCAAAGCAATCTACTATGCACAAATCCGAGTACAAGTTTCTTAAAACTTCTTGCCAGAACACATCCAGTTCACATGCATGGGGTATGGTTATTGTTACTGCAGGATGGGATGGACGGATTAGATCATTCCACAATTATGGTTTACCAGTAACCGTTTGATACTTTTGTGGTCTTTGGCATGGTTTTCATAGAGTTGTAGCTATCCCCTCTGCAGTAAACTTATCGCGTAGTGCCTGCTTTGGTTCATTACCAGATGCAAATCTGATGGATTGATGAGTGACATTACCTTTGGCAGCATCAATGGCCACAGCAGGGTCAGGTTGACAACTCTAGCAGGCATGTGCACGATCGATGACCTTGAGAATTTGGTTCTCCGATGGGCCCCTTGTCAGATTTCAGAGGTGACGGTGACCATTTTATGTCCTGACAGGTGGCTGAAATTCCATGGTTGTGATGTAATCCAATTCGGAATCAGCCAGTGGCCGAGGTTAGCTTGTCCAGATGGTATAATTATAGCCAATGTGGGATGTTTTTGGTCTGCCGGTTCTCAAATTTTAGATGTGAAGTCATTTGTTAAGAGAGAGCCAATGAGATATTATATCTATATAATTCAGGTGCCTGTGGGCCTTGTAGAACATCTTTGTTCTCCAAGATAATGGATAGGGATTCAAGGGCTGGTGGCTGGAATTCGTTTGGGGAAAAGATGGTGGGGAACTCCACCATTCCATCGTGCTCGCCGGTTAGAATGATTGAATTGTTGTCTGCCATGTCTGGTCCATCTCATGGTAGGGTTGGCGAGCTTTGGTTGGCAGTGGGAATGTGCAGGAATCCATTTCGTCCGAAGTTGCTCACTGCCTCAGCCAGGGGCTGGAAACTCAAAGACCATCCAGTCTTTCGGAGAAGACATGTCTAACGGGAATATGATTTGGGGAGCTCATGTGTCCATGGATGAGCACTCCTAACCGGGTTTTCGTCGACGTAGACCTTTGTATATTTACACTGTCAATTTAGTCTAACATCAGCTTAGTCTAGCCTTGCATCGTTAGCGATTTTGTTAACTTAACAGGAAGTCCTTTTGAGATTTTTTGTAATGTCAAATGCAATTTTTCTTTCTGATATGTAAATGAAATATTCTTGTAGTTTTTTCCTGCATGTTCATGCTCTAAATGAAATGGCAATACCACAGTAGAAAAAGTATACAATTACACAACTAATGTGTCTTCATAAAAGCAAAATGGACTCAACATTACTTGTTTGCATTGGGACGTCATTTTATCGCTCTTCTGTTTCTCAAACCTAAAATGTATTGTCAAGTGTTTTAACTTTTGACATGACTCACCTATGATGTCGCAAGGGTGAAATTAATCTTCTTAGATGAGGGAATCCTAGGAGAGCCGTCGACTCCAACTATCGTCCAAGTGCATTATTAGTCTGGAATACCTTCACAGTGACATGCTCGCTATAGGTAAGTTTCTATCGTTAAAGTGATTTTCAGTTTAGTGGAGATAATCAAAGTATCAAAGATTCAATTAGGAGACAAGGAGAAAAAAGCATATGACTAATTATGAAGAGGGGGACATGAGACATGTATTAGTGGGAATTATAAAGTGAAAAGGAAGGAGCACAAAACAAATTAACATCAATTATTGAACTGTTTATCTTCTACTTTTGGCCAACAAGCTTGCATTATTCAAGGACAATTGTACAAGGTGACAACATTCAACGAACCCATAAAAAAAATTGAGAAAAGTTGGGAGGTCACATGATGAATTATGAGCGTGATTAGCTTGACAAAACTTACTTTATCGGGTCTAAATCCGAATCTCCGACAAACCGACATACGATAATTGTCACTCCTCCATCTTCTTTTGGGTATGACAGAACATTATAATTAAGATTAGAAGTTAGATTAATTGGTTTTGTAACCCCAAAAGTTTATTTTGTTTGGAGTTTAAGAAAGGAAAACAACCTTTTTAAGAAAAGGGGAAGCCGGATTAGCATGTTCATGGATGTTTGTTCTTTTGTTGCAAATATTGGGAGATAAGTAGCCCATGTATCCAACCCATGAAACATAAGAGCAACTCCAGCCCATTCAAATATCCTAAGGGATAGGCAATCCATTGGGGTCCGGGGAGCCCGACATCCTCACCAGGCCCAAATCGCCTGGCTCAATGCTTGAGAGGTGTGACATCAGGTTGACGTTATGGTGGCGTCAGTTACAATAAAAAATAAAAATTAATAATTTCTTTTTCTATAAATACCTAATCATGTTCTTCCACCTTACACCACATTTCAATACTTTGAACCAATCTTTTATTATTATCTGAATTTAAAAATAAAATTATCTTTTATTTTATAAAAAATAAAATAAAAAAATAATACCAATAGCCTGAGCTATTCAATTTAGGGATGACAATGCAATAGGACAGTTACCGTTCACTAAAGGTAGTTACTGTTCACTAAAGGGAATTTAGTTGTTTATAGCCCATGAGACTTTTAGGGTTAGAGTTGCCCTAAGCCCGCAACAAGGCCTATCCATAGGCCCAAAATGAGTGATCCAATTGCTAAATCTAGAACATTCCTCATCCTTGGATATGGAAGATTCGAACTTATCAAAGAGCTACATCAACAATGCCCTAGCAAACTGTTCTAAACATGTAATTTTTTGATATTTTACGATATGGGAGATTCGAACTAGAGTTGTGAGGGGCGAGTACACTACCATATCATGGCTAATTGACTTAACTCACCACATATCATCTTTCGTTAGTCTACGAGATAGGGATTCAAACCTAGAGAAAAAGAGGTGAGGGGCAGGGTACACTACCATGCTGTGGCTAATTGGCTTAACACACCACATATCATCTTTCGTCATTCTACGAGATAGAGATTCAAACCCTAGAGAAAAAGAGGCCAGCAAACAACTATGCCATGACCAACTTGCCTATCTAACCACATATGTCATCTTGATGTAGGACACATATGAGACATGTCCAACAAAAAGCATAAAATAAAATAAAATGTTTCAAATTCTGAAAAAGAAGAATTAAAGTTGAAAAATGTTGAATTCATTCGATATGGTGACATAAAGAACAATAATAAATATTTGGTATCAGAATCAGGCGTATAATATATCGTTTTTATAGAAAACCGCAAGTTGAACAAAAATCATAGTACCATTTGCCCGTGTTTAATGCCAAAAACGATTGTTTAGGCTTCCAAAATTGCCATTTTAATTATGTAATAAAAGTCGGATCTTTCAATTCTCGTTTGATTAATATCGTTTAATTACTTAACACCTTTGAGTTGTACTAGGAATTGTAATCCGATTATTTAAGCCATTGGCTGTTTCCATTGTAATCATCTTTCAATAAAATTTAAAAATTATCAGACAACCGTTTAGTTTTATCCTCAATATCTAGGAGATTCCAAAAAACTTTGTTCTTTGAGGAATTATGCTTGTAATCCTTTTAGCTTCGTACCGCGTCACATATTTTGTTATTCTCTGAGATAAGAGATTGAAATTTGACTACAAAACAGAGATCGCACTATTACGTCATGACCAACTGACCAAATTGCTAGACATTCTTCAGTAATCAATTCACAATTTCACATTCCAAAACACAAATTATTCTTTATAGAATGATCACAATAAGAAATCAAATCAAACCCATAAAATTTCAGAAAGACTTTCTATTTTCCTTCACATCGATACCAATTGCATATCACTTGGAAGAGAAGCAATAAACAACACACAGAGATTAAAAAAAAAAAAAAAAAAAAAAGCATTTTAATTTTTAATCACACAAACAACAAATCCAACCCCAATTTTCCCGATCCAACCTCAAACTTCACAACCTGAAAAGGACACATTGAAACCCACAAAAATTCAAGATGCAGAGAACAACCTATAGAGAGAAGAAACAAAACGACCCCAACCTATCCGATTCACCCATTCAGACGGGGAGGTTGACGACGTCGTTCGGTGGAGGGGCAGAGGAGGAGGAGGCGGAGGAAGTGGAAGAAACGTAGTGAGGGCGGTGGTCGCTGAGGTTGACGGAGCGGGAGGCGAAGAGCATGAGGGGGCGGTCTTGGGCCTCCTCGGGGTTGGTTTCGTGGTCGTCGGAGGTGGAGAGGTTGATGCAGGAGCAGCGCTCAAGGGAGGCAAAGAAGGCGGATGCCACGTGGGTCCCAAGCCAACTGGCGACGCCGTTGATCTTCTCGTACGACAGGCACGAGCTCTGGCTCTGGCTCTCCATTGTTGGAACAGATTCTTTGTTTTTTGGCAGTGCGCAGTCAGAGAAAGAGAAACAGAGGAGGCAGATTCCTCAAATATCCCAAGAAAGTCAAACGCCGATTCCTCCGACCGTTTGTCCGCCCTTTTCCTTTTGTTGTTTGTTGTTCCTTAACCTTAGGAACTCGCTTTTACCAAAATTTACTATGTACGTGTAGGCAACTAACCAGACTCAAGTTAAGTTAACATTGTCCCATCGTGGAGAGACGCTATACGTGCGCTTTTACTCAACATGGTTTTAAGATTTGCATAACTCATCATTTTAGTTTTAGAGATTTGAAATCAATAAAAGTAATCTTCGAATTTGTCTATCATCAATCATTTTGGTAATTCCTTGAAAAATTACGGACCAAATGATAAAAATACTCTCAATTTAATAAACAATAGGCCAAAATGATTCAACAAAAATTAAGGTTGTTTTTGTAATTTTATCTTTATTTAATGAAAATTTTTCAAGGAATGATCAAAATGATCGATGGTGGATAAACTCAATGATCATTTCTATTGACTTCAAATCTCAAAAATCAAAATAAAAAATTATGTAAATCCCAAAAAATATTTTAACTAAAAAAACCTTATATATATGTTGTACCGCTTTGTACTTCGAACACATTAACAAATATCTCTTCATTCATTCCTAAGTTCGACTTTGAACTCCTACGACATGTCGCTTCCATCGGTGGGTAGTGCAACCGTGACCGTAGATTGACAATTCGGCGGTGACCCGCGGGGATAAGGCTAAGAGCAAAAGATTTTTACTGGCGTCAGACACGATCCCACGTGTCAAGCCACGTCATCTTGATCCATGGAAAACTAACTGTAACGAAGAACAAGGATAAGAGAAAGAGAAGACCATCGTCTCAGTTCTGCCATTTTCTTCTGAAAAATGGCTGCTTCACTTTCTTCATCGATTCTTCCGTCTCGAAACGGCGTTTCTCTCCAATTCTCCCAGACGAAACGCCCGCAGCTCCACTCGCCGCCGCGCGTATTTTGCTCCGGTAAGCCTTCCTCGTTGATTTTTTCTCAGTTGTTTTGGTGAATGTTTATAAAGATTGACTTTTTTGTTACGTAAAACAATTTCATGTTCTGCTTCACTTACAAGTACTTTCGTAGAAGCACTTGGAGAAACGCCTTCTAAATGCTTCTTAGGAAGTTCTTTCTAATAAAAATTTCAACGCGTTTCTAATAAAATCAATTGTAGTAAAAGTTCTAATAAATAAAAGTGTTTTTAAAGATGCAGTCTCAAATGGCCTTTAGAAACTTTGCATATATAGGTTAGGAAGGTTGGCTAGGCCCAATGTTGCCCCCTTGGAAGGTTACACCAAAGTTCAAATACCCTTCTCTAGAACATCGTCTTGTAAAAAAGTTGGAAACTTCTATTTTAGTAGATTTATAAGCAATTTCTGCCTAGTTTTGGGACTCGAGTTGGAAAAACAACCTCTTTGTAAGGCTGCGTACTATAGACGTTGCCTCCGACCCTCCGAGGTGCCTTATTGGTTTGAGTTCGCCCTTTTTCTGCCTAGTTTTGTATCCTGCATTATTCTGCAAAATTGGAAGATGTGGATTTATGTTTTGGTTTCATTGGGCGGGTGCAGCTTCTAGGGATGGTCATGAGACAAAGGAGGAATTGAATCAGTGGAAGCAAGTTAAGAATGCAGCTTGTGGGATTCTTGCTGTTTGGGCAGTGACTACCGCTGCCTCACCTGTAATTGCTGCTGGTCAGGTTTGAAACCCTCTCATTCCGTATATTTATTCTTCACTTGGCTTGCTTTTGGTGCCGTTGCCTTACGATATTGTAATCTTCATCATCTGTTTAAAATGGAAGCATATAGATATCATGCAAAATACGTAGTTGAGATGTTATACACAATGGACTAATGGAATGTTCATGGAAGATTTGAATTCCCCATCTTGAACTGAATCTACATTCTGTGCTCGCGCTTTTCTTACTTCCAAATGCCTTCTAGTGTTTTGTATTGTAAAACAAGATCATCTATACAAAGTGAGGAACACAACATCAGCTTGAAGGACAATCAAGAACCAAGCAAAACTAGTACATACAACTAGCTAACCGGTAACAAACTCACGCCAAAATTCCACAAGTTACAAATTTCTCTATTAATAATCCTTGAGGTCCTAAACATAGCTTCAGAACACAAAGCTTTATTCATGAATCGGGAGATTCCTTTACACCAAATGTGGTAATCGAAAATCTTAAACTCTTCCTTTACTGCAATTTTATCCAGTTAAACTCGTCACGACAAAGATTGTGTTGAGAGGTGGCTGTCTAGGCTCAGGAAATTTGTCTAGCCTTAGTTGGAACGAATAAGCTGTCAAGAAATAAACCCTGTTTTAGAATTGCCGTAGAGAACCAGACAAGTCTGTACCAATCCGCTTGCACAATGCTTGCCTCCAATAGCATTCTAAGTATCAGAAAATTTAAGAAAATCCATTTATGGCATGAGCAGAGTCTCAAGATACTTTATAAGATTTTTTGTTACTTTGCCACTTCTAGTATCGATCTCTTATTACTGAATCCTTTCTGAATGCCCCGTTTTCCCTTATTATGTTTTCTTTCAACTCTTGTGAAACGCCACCATGTCCATTAAATAAGCAGGAGCCAAACTGTCACTATCCAAATTATAAGTTACTAGTTCTAACTTCTTATAGCTGTGACTCTGAAAAGTTGCTAAACTGACTTCTTCTGTATCCAATAGAGGTTGCCTCCATTGTCTACTGATCCAAAGCGATGTGAGGTTGCATTTGTTGGAAACACGATAGGTCAGGCAAATGGAGTTTACGACAAGGCAATTGATCTCCGCTTCTGTGATTACACAAATGAGAAGTCCAATCTTAAGGGAAAGAGTCTTGCAGCAGCACTCATGTCCGGAGCCAAATTTGATGGCGCAGACATGACAGAAGTTGTGATGTCAAAAGCTTATGCTGCAGGAGCCAGCTTCAAGGGTAAGCTTGTGTATCATCCTTGGTATCAAATGCACAAGATCGTAATATGGAATGAAAGAGGTGATTATCAATTTTTCTCTCTTTTTCAGGTACAAACTTCTCGAACGCAGTTCTAGACCGGGTTAACTTTGAGAAAGCGAATCTGCAAGGAGCTTTGTTTATTAACACTGTCTTATCAGGTTCCACCTTCAACGAAGCAAACCTTGACGGTGTGTTTTTCGAGGATACCATTATAGGGTACATTGATCTTCAGAAAATTTGTAGAAATACAACTATCAATGGGGAAGGAAGAGCTACCCTAGGGTGTCGATAATTCAAGGTTCGTCTGTTTCAATGTAAGAAGCAGCCACACACACACACGGTGCTAACTGCGTTTTCCTTCTGTATTTCGAGTTCATTTCTAGGCACTTTTAACTGTATAGCCCCTATATATGGTATCCCGCATCTGTGTATGAGAACCGATCAACAGAAGACAGTTTTGTTGTAGTATTTGTTTGGTGGAGACGGGAGATTTTCTCCTTTGCTTCTTTGTTATGGCTTTCAGTTTGAAATATTCATCTTTTCTTCTGTCAAATGACGTGAAAAACACTAATCATCAGATGGCCTATGCAATTTAAGTAAACAAAAAACAAAGATAGAAAACAATGGAAAATGATATTGCAATTTAAGTAAACAAAAAACAAAGATAGAAAACAATGAAAAATGATATCCGCACACTCTTTTTGTTCTTATGTACACACTGTTTAGGTTTGCATAAATTAAGGGAAAATCAAGGACATAAATAAGCAAGGTAGGCAGAAGAAGAAAATGAGTGCAGATATCATTTTTCAAAAGAAAAATGTGAGGAAGAGGCGTATTAGGGTGCATTTTTCGCTCAACACACTTGAGTGGTGATGCTCACTACCTTCCTTATTACTATTGACAAGTTCAAATTTTGATATTTGTATAGGGTTGTATCCATCCATTACACAGATCTCGAAATTTAAACTCATATAATTATGATATACAGGGTGGTATGGGAGCAAAAATATTCCTACCATATTATGATATGGGTAGTTAGATCGCAATGCACGTGTGCAACATACCAAAGTCAGATGCCACTCACTTGCTCAGTACTTCAGTTGAAATTCACAACTCACCAACCAGCTTTTTAAAATATTAATCAAACCCGGGGATCGTGCTCCTCACTTCCCAGCTCCCGCCAGCACTCCTTTTACATTTCTTCCCCCTTGACTTTGAAGGCTTGATATTCATTCAAAAGGTACTAATTACTAATTATGATGTCTGCAGTCCATTTTATCGTTCTGCATATTTTTCTTCTTTTAAGCTCGTCTCTTTAACTGTTGGGTTGAGTAAATTAATGACAAACTAAGAGACGGAAGAAAACAAACATAAGAGTGCAGAATTAAAAAACGAGTGTTCGGAGCCTTTTCCTATATCTCACCACTTAGCCTAAACTCAATTATTCCCTTGTTTTTCCTGATCATTGCCTAAAATCTTTTGAGTTTAGGCCCGCCGGGTTTCGTTGAGCTCTGCAAGATTTGGATCAAGCAGAATGACTCTACTCGCTGCTCGGCCAGATCGTCTAGTGCACTTAATAAAATGTGACAGTGACCCAGCAAGAATTAGGTCAAGTTAGAGGAGGGCAACATGTCCACGTTTCAACTTAGTAACTTTCTCTTTCAAGGGCCATTTCGATCTTTTATTCTAATTTGTCATCTATGATACATGCCGTTGAGTGGTCCGAAAAGCCAACTTTTTGCATAATGCATAAAACTTGTCTACCTAACATTGTAACCCGATATTTTATATTCATCTTCTCTTCTTTGTAGAAGCCATCTCATCTTGGACAACTTTTATGTGAAGATAGTCTTACACATGATATTTTATTAGTTATTGAGAACACCACAGTAACGGTTAACCCGTTTCATAGAAATATGAAATTAAAATTTTTTAATGATGAGATATGAAACTATGATTGATCTAATAATTGAGGTAATTATTTGTACTTTAGTCTCATAATTCTTAAGTGAAAAAAAGCAAAGAATAAATATGAAGGATGGCGATTGATACCAATCTTTCAAATCAGAGTTCTTGAGCTTTCGTCAATTAGTCTAATTAGGAAAATTGGCACCCAGCATAAAATACCATTATGCCAAAATCATATAGCGTGGATCACATGAGTATATTTTTATATATTATAATATTATATAATGGTGGCTACTGGTGCCCTAAAAGTGTGTTTTGTTCTTGACCTTTCTCCAATTTTAAGTCCTTGTACTAGCTGGCTAGCTAGTAGGCTAGATGTATTAGCTGCACGCTTAGTTGTGTTGTGTAATCATAATAATTACTAGCAGATGAGCACACACTTTGTGTATGTGAATAACTGCTCACCTTATCTTACGTTCTCCTCAAGCACAACTGCTTCAATTCATTCAAACTATCCAAAAAACATCATGATTTCACTTACGTGTATGAAAAAATGATGGTGGGATAATTTCTCTTAATAAGTGCATATTTTTTATCTTATGTAAATATTTCGATATAAAATTACTATTTTGCCCTTTTTATGTAAATATTGTGTATAAAAAATGAGGGTAAAATAGGAAAAAAGTGGAAAAAGTTCAAAAGATACAAAATTACTATTTTGCTCTCCTTATGTCAACATTGTGTATTCAAAAGTGAGGCAAAATTGAAAAAAAATGGGGTAAAAAGTTGACAAGCCCTCTTCTCTTAATAGAATAGATTATATAACATATTATCGGAAAAGTAATATGAAGTGTGGAGATTGAGGAAGAGAACTTGAACTTGTATATATGCATAAAATGAGTATAATCACTTGGATGCACAAGGTAAGTAGATTCGTTCCAAACAATATAGTGTCACATTTGAAGGGCGTTGGAGTTCTACCGTAAAACTACTTGACAATATGAAGAGTAGCTCAATTTACTTATTATCCTTCTATCCATGTGAGATTCATTCTTAACACGTCCCCTCACGTGTGGCGAATTTTCACGACTAACACGTGGACAACAAAAATGGGATGAGGTGAAGCACATGTGGCCGTTTGGGTTCACACATGGGACAATCTGTTCTGATACCATGAAGAAATTTGGTTCCACCATAAAACCAATTGGTAATATAGAGAGTAGTTCAACTTACTTATTAGACCATATACAAAATCTCTCCTCCCATTAATGTGAAAGTCATTCGGAATGACGTTTGCATTTTGAAGAATTTAAAAGTGGAATGAGGATTCTCTTTTGATCCTTTTTGTGAGGATCCCGAGGATCATCTAATCACGTTCGTTTATCGTATATTGTGCGGTCAGAAATTATGTAAATTTTTTATTAAAAATTGAATATAAATAGTACCTAACGAAATTGATCGCACGATATACGATGAACGAATGTGATTAGAGAATCTCTCGATCCTCACAGAGAGGATCCTCATTCTTAAAAGTGTAACATCATAATAATTAAGTTTTGGTGGTTGGGGTTTGGAGCATTACTAGTTTGAATTGAATTATTAGCAACCATTCCCATATGTTGCATGCAGAGATGTAGTGAGAAGTACGTACCAACCATTCCAAAACCTGCCATCTACAATTCCTCCTCTCTAGCTAGCTAGCTGCATGTCGCATCCATGCAACAGCAGCAGCACCACCCTTTTAACGGACTGTCAATATTGAATTAAAACGACAAACACATGCTCCCCAAGTGCCCACCGCCTTTCCTTCCTCCATGATCATATGCTTGCCAACAAACTGATTCCATTAGCCTAAACCCTAACTACGCAACAATTAATTAATTAAGCTAGTCATGAACAACGGCTCCAAATTAATTAATAGTACCATACCATCGAGATGACAAGAGATCGGGAGGTAGCTTTCACTTGATCAGGACAATTTAGGTGGAACGAGTTCATCGTCAGCGTGGGTCTTGAACCACTTCTATGTGAAGAAAGTCTTACACTTGATATTTTATTAGTTATTGAGAACACCACAGTAACAGTTAACCTGTTTCATAGAAGTCTTTCTCGTCGATTTAAGTTCTAGCTATACGCATGCAGTGGAGTGGGTCCTGACTCCTTATTAAACTACTGTAACTATAGAGTACAGTATTACCGTGATTTCACTCCCACCAAATCACTTCCCATACTTATAAGTTATGACCTTCTATATATAGAACAGCCCTACATTGAAGGGATATTACAAGAACCATATGCTTGCTTATTCAGTTGAGTGACAGTTGTCTCTGTGTGTGTGAGAGAGAGAGAGAGAGAGAGAGAGAGAGAGAGAGAGAGAGAGTTTTATGGGATTAATCCTCTTTGTAATGGTTCTTGCTCAAATGAGTATTCCAGCCACAGTTTGCCGGCAGCTTGCATATATATATATATAGCACTGGTGCTTCTGCAATTCTGAGATGCTCATTTGAGCAAGCAGCGTTACAAGAGGAATATTTTTGCAGTATGATCATCAAAGTAAAACTGCCGTTTCAGCACCAAAAGGAGGTCTTGATTGCTAGCTAGTTCATCAATCTTAATTATATACAGTTAAGTATTACTGATTTTCTACTTTCTCTTGCTAGTTAATTAATTAATACGCATATATTATCTTAATTTGCTCATTTAGATCATATTAAGATCACCTAGCTAGCTTAATAATAGATTAGCTAAGAAGTAATGTTTGGAAGATCATAGATGAACTTAATTATCTTGCCTGGTGGATCTTAATTTCTTAATTAATACTATTGTTCATATACAAACTACCAATATAGAACTTGAATCAATACTTTGTATTCAGCACAATATACTGAATCACCGATATAGAATTACATCGATTAATTTCCTGCGTATATTAGCTTTCAAATTGTGGTTAATAGAAGGCGGTGTTCCTTTTTGTAATTCAAATCGCCAGCAAAGTTATAACATAGATCTCGTTCAAATAACTTCTTTTTGAATAATTGACTCTAATTTACCGGAATATTGTTCCATTATAGATTAACCTTGTTGTGATGTTCATATTTCTGAATTTGAATCCTCTCCGGACCTTAGTGTTCAGAGCATAAGGACCAGGTAATTCAGGTCCTTGGTTTGTGTGAAAGAGAAATCGAAGTCTTTGGTTTGTGTGAGGTGAGCCAGCAAAAGTTAATAGAGATGGTCGGATTCAATTTGAGTAGTCTCGTCCTTGGCCTTCGGACAGTGAAATCCGAAGAGGATCTCTAGCCCATATTTCTTCGCTTTTGTAATTAAAGCTCCTCAAGGAAAATTAATTAAGAAGAAGAGAGATTGAAAAAGACAGGTGATCGATGTGCAGCGCCAGTGCCAGCCCCATCTACCCTATTGTTCTTTACTCTGTATATCTTCTCGCTAATGACTGAATGCAAGTCTGTACTGATCCAAGAATTTAACCCTCTTGTACACCAGCAAACCCTATCTTAGTATGCTGGGCTACCTAGCCTTACATAATTTCGTGGACATATGACCCATACATGCCTAGCTACCGAGAATGTGAAATCACTACCCTTAGTAATTCGTTAGAGAATACTAGAGTTACATGCAGAGGATGAAAACGAGAATAGTAGAGTTACATGCAAAGGGAGAAATCAAGAATGTGAAATCACTACCCTTAGTAATTCGTTAGAGAATACCAGTAACATAGACAAAAAAAGGAAAAAGGGTTATCCGATCCCGTCTAATTGTACGTGAAACACCATTTGATTTGGAGCACGTACATTTTCCTCAATCGGCAATCCGATCATGTGTATGCACTGGCCATTCCTCCCAAATTTTACAGGTGCAAACAAAATTTCTATGCCAGATGTGCTAATTAAGCTGCTAGCTAACTTAACCATGATCCTTAAGATCCATCGATGTTATAGTCGCATTCTAGTAGTTTTTACTTAAGCTACTATTTCATCTAAGTTTTTAACATTAGACCTTGCATATTTGTGCATAGCTAAATTGGCTAAAGCAATGTGCTAGTATGCTTCAACCTTTGCATCCAAGTTCGAGTTTCCGTCCCATAATTTAGATCAATTAGCTTAATGCAAGGATTCCATCGTTTGTGAAAAAAATATATTACACTTCGAATTAATTAATTATTAATTTATTTGGGACTGCAAGCATCATTCAGTTGTTCATCATGACAAGTAAAGGTCAATTCCCCCAAGCGATTATCCACTCAAATTAAATTAAGATCGACTCAGCAGTACTTAATCAACTTTAGCTACTAACAAAAGCTTGAATTTCAGATATCAATCCCTTGCTTATTACTTTCATAACAGCATATATTCACATCTTTTATCACTTTGTTTGATTGGTAATTACTTAATTAACACCGAGTTCAACAAAAAATTAAACAAAAATTATTCCTGATTTGCAATCTATATAAAATAAGAAAAAGAAATGATGAAACAGAGAATCAAATTGAATTGAGATCCAATCTTGATCTTTGCATCCGACACCACTGATCGAGAAATTCAGACCACTCAATTTCAATCATACTGCTCTTATTAGGCCATCTCACTCGACCATTCCACAAAAATCCAAAGATTTGAACGATTCATATCTCTTTCTTTCTCTTGAACAGTTTTGATCTCTCGATACGTGGCCTCCGGACACAAAAATCCAGAGTGGATTTCATTCCAATCAAATTATCTAATTGCGGGCGGTGTTTTAAAAGTAGGCTCAAAAAGGTAAAAGCTCTCTCAAGACATGTACACTTAACCCTCGGCAGCAAGAAACCGTACTCTCCCAAGTCCCAACTCCAACGCAAAGAATCCAAAAGTGACTTCTTCAAAACCGGCACACCAGAAGCACCCTTGCATCAATATGCACAACAGCACTCCAAAACACATCACTACTCTTACTCATGGGAAATTTTGTTCTCAATTTTACGTCGTCTCGAAGATGCATTTTGCTCCTCCTCGTCTCAATCTTCGTTCAAGGTACGCATAATCTCCAACCCTCATACCATCTATCAGAAGCTGAAGTAGTTAAGAGCGTTTACTCTATGCAGACGAGGTTATGTGTTCTAGTATATCTTTTCCCTTATTATCGCTTACGCTAATAAAAGTCTTGTTTTTCTGTTCTTTGCTTTTTGTTGATAGGAGGGGAAGGATCTATAGGAGTGAACTATGGCACGATGGCGAATGACCTTCCTCCGCCGGCCAAAGTCGCCCACTTCCTTCTGGAATCCACCATTATCAACCGTGTTAGGCTCTTTGACACCAACCCCGACATACTCCGAGCCTTTGCTCACACCGGCATCGCTGTCACAATTACTATCCCAAATGACCAAATCCCCCACCTCACCAAGATACGCTCCGCCCAACAGTGGCTTAAAACCAACGTCCAGCCTCATATCCCAGCCACCAACATTGTCCGAATTTTAGTAGGCAACGAAGTATTATCCACCACAAACAAGTTGTTCATTACTGGCCTTGTCCCTGCCATGCAAGCCCTCCACAATGCCCTAGTAGATGCGTCATGGGACCGCCAAATTAAGGTCTCCACCCCACACTCTCTAGGCATTCTCTCCAGCTCAACCCCACCTTCCTCCGGCAAATTTAGACAAGGCTACGACATCCATGTCCTTAAACCTTTACTCACTTTCTTGCAATCCACCAATTCTCCTTTCATGGTGAACCCGTATCCGTATTTCGGATACTCCCCCGAAACGCTTGATTACGCGCTTTTCCGGCCAAATCCCGGTGTGCTTGACGGGAATACTAAAATGCTATACACCAACATGTTGGATGCACAATTAGATGCTGTTTTTTCAGCCATGAAACTTGTGGGCTTTGAGGACCTTGAGATTGTTATTGCCGAAACGGGTTGGCCCTCTCAGGGTGATCCAGCCCAAGTTGGGGTTGACGCACAGAGTGCCGAGGATTACAATCGAAATCTCATTCAACACAGTGACATCAGGTTATGGCACCCCGTTAATGCCAAACCGAACTTTTGAGACCTTCGTATTTTCCTTGTTCAATGAAAATCTCAAGCCCGGCCCAACACCCGAGAGGAATTTCGGTCTTTTTCGGCCCGACTTGACGCCGACCTACAACATCGGAGTCCTTCGGCACACGGTAGCTGCCGCCGCAAATAATCACCCTAAAACATTCCCCTTCTTGATATTATTATTATGTATGTGCTTGATTGGTTTGTGGACTTGGATTTAACAGGCTAGTTCGACTACACCTAAGAACTCAGGCCCAGGCCCAGTCCCAGTGTTGGCACCGCAAGCCCTCCGCGATCACACGGCGGGAAATTGTGGTGCTTGCCCAAGAAAGGGGCCGACCCGGAGGCGCTGCAGAAGAATATTGATTATGTTTGTGGGCTGGGATTGAATTGTGGGCCAATCAAACAAGGTGGGCCGTGCTTTATGCCCAACACAGTTAGAGCCCATGCAGCGTATGCCATGAATGTCTACTTTCAAGCAATGGGAAGGAAGGATTCTGATTGTGGTTTTGAACAGACTGGCGCCGTCACTGCCGTCGATCCAAGTCAGTTTCATGCAAACCCTTTTTCGTTTTTGTGTAGAACAATTTGGATCCTATACACACTTTACTGTCCGAAACTTAAGAATTTTGGTTTGTGTAAAATATAGATCGAAGTTTTGTATGTGTGAGATGGTCAAGTGAAATAAGTTAATGGGGGCTGTTGGATTCAATTTAAGTTATTTAGATCGCTTGGTCTTTAGGCTCGGACACCGAGATCTAAAAATGATTTTTGTTCTGTATATAATAGTAATTAGCTAATTGATCATTGTTTGATTTACTAATTAATCTTTTTTTTTTGTTCGCAGGCTATGGAAAGTGCAAGTATTGATGATGAAGAATGTTGCAATGGAGGAGAAGACCCATAGATTATAAACTGTTACCAATCCTTTCTTTTTGGACATAAAAAGATATTAGCGATTGGTGTTTTGTATGGACATGTAGTATAAATAAGATAAGTATTTAGACAAAAAAAAAAAAAAAAAATCGTGATTTCCTAATGTAGCATCTACAATGTGTAATATTAAGGGAATTATACGAATGCTATCTGAATTTTCATGCTTTGTTCGTCAAATTTTACATGAATCAAAAATTAAAATAATGTGTAACATGAATTGAAAATTTATTATAATGGTAACCTCCAACTAACTTTATTTTGTTGGTTGTTGAACAAGTTGTATGTGTTTTAGCCTATGTTGCACGAACACTTTAAAACTTCGAACTATCAGAGGGCCACCTGGATGCGCCGACACGCTCGGACACAGTTTGGACATGGTTAACGGTATGAGCAAGATCAAGACACGATAAGGGCTTTTATGTAAATATAAAAAATATTTTTTATATGTAACTCATGTACATTGATATTATTTATTATTTATTAATATTTTATCAAATGTAACTCATGTACATTGATATTATACTTAATAGATACACACAACAAAAATTCAGCTAAGTTGGGTATAAGCAAATTAATTATTAATTAAACTAAAATTTAATGAGTGAGCTCTCACCTAACTCTATTTGTCCGCGGAGGACCCGATGATTGTCTCCTATGCGGTGCGCTCTGATCTCCGGGGAGTAAAACACCATCTCACTCTCTCTCTCTCTAAAACTCCAATCTTTTTCTGTCTCTTTCTCTCTCTAGATCCCCGATTTCGAGGGTTTGGGGTTAGGGTTTAGGATTTTACGCAGAGAAGAAACAATGGGCGGAGAGTGGCAGCAGCTCCTCCAATCGATAATCCTCGGCCTCATTTTTTCCTACCTCCTCGCCAAGCTCATCGCCATAGTCATCTCCTTCAAGGAAGAGAATCTCAGCCTCACTCGCGCTCGCGCTGCCGCCCCCGCCGACACCAATCCGCCGCCGCTCAAATCCGAGCCCCGCGACGACCAGCTTCGCTCCGCCGATTTGAGCTCCGCGGCAATTGAGGCCGAATCGGTCGTCGCCGAGCACGGCAGCGTCAGGAACGATAGCAGCGAAGCTGACAGTGACGATGACTGGGAAGGCGTGGAGAGTACGGAATTGGACGAGCTGTTCAGCGCGGCGACGGCGTTTGTCGCGGCGGCTGCGGTGGATCGGCAGAAGGTGTCAAGTGATGCGCAGTTGAAGCTTTATGGACTTTACAAGATTGCTACTGAGGGACCCTGCAGCGCGCCGCAGCCATCTGCTCTGAAAATGACTGCTCGCGCGAAATGGTATTTGCTCTGCCATTTCTTTATACCGAAAACTTACTTGCAAGATTTGGATTTATTTATATGGATTTTATTTTCAGCTTGATAAGGATGGGGAATGTGTTTCTTGGATTGATTTTGGTTAATATCATGATTAGATGGATGGAGTTTTGCCCTAATTGTAATGTTTTTACTGGGTAATTGGTGAATTAGGGTTGATTAAACCGTGTATCTTACTTTAGTGGCTTGCTGTGTTTTTGAATCTGTTCGCTCGGTGATTTCTTATAGGCAAGCTTGGCAGAAATTGGGTGCTATGCCTCCTGAAGATGCTATGGAGAAGTACATTGATATTGTCACAGAGCTTTATCCTAATTGGGCAGCAGGTCTGACTGTGGTGAGTCTTTATTCTTTTGTTTTCGACTTTATTTTAGTCCTGCCAGACAGCAATACTTACTTTCTGTTGGGTTTTCTCTGCTGGTTTCTTTCTGTCTATTGGCATATGATTACTAGAAGAGCAGAGGTGGAGAAGGTAGTGCATCTGGTAATGATTCTAAAGGACCAATGGGACCGGTTTTCAGCACCTTTGTTTACGAGGAAGAATCTGAAAAGGATTTGTAAGTTTCTTAGGACTGCTAAGCATGGGAGGGTTAATATTTACACATTGTTGTCGATTAGTAGATATCATTTCTTGGAAATAAATAAAAAGTAATGCTAACGTAAGGTGTTTTGTTTTTATTTTTCAGAAAGATGGATGCTATTCATGCCTTTGCAAGAGAAGGAGAAGTGGATAATTTGCTTAAATGCATTGAAAGTGGCGTTTCGGTGGATCAGAAAGGTCTGTTTTCTTCCATCTGCCTCTTTAATAGGTTCATTAAGTTTCAATTGACGTTATCGTAATTGTTGTATTCCATTAATACGTCCATAACCATGAAGTCATGTATACTTTCTTTCTTGCTGGGTTGTTAACAGACTAAGGCTGCTCATAAACTAGGCCCAGCTTCATAGAAGCTCCTTTCCTTGTTAAATCTCAGCTTTTTAGAGGTTATTTCCTTGATAAATGAGCTATAATTCAAGCTTAATATCCAAGTTTGGATGCATAAAACAAAGTTTGAACAACAGTGGATTGGACCCTTTAGGATTGTGATCATTTAAGATAGGTAAATACGTTTTATGCTATGGTCAACATGCTTAAGTATAAACTTTGATAACACATAGGATAAAGTTCAAACTAACATCATTAAGGCATGTAGAAACGAGGAAGCCTCCAATTTCAGTATTGTTGTTAACATGCTTATATATGTTTGGAAATCAGCACAGAAATTGTAAAAGCTTGAAAAGGCTAGGCCAAAAAGCTGTGGTACCCCAAGTTTGACTTCAAACTGAGCCGGGTGCATATCTCTATTAACCTAGCTTTTATTGCTTGTTCCTCACATAAATAGCACACCACATGTTTCTTTCGTTGGATGCATGTACATGCCTTAATTATTTTTTTTGTGGCATGTATTCTCTCCTCACACAGAAAAGTGTTTGGTCTATTTTTATTGGTGGTCTATCATGCTACCCTTTATTTTATATTAGGATGTTGAACGGAATTTCTTGTGCTCAAACTTTTTATGTGCTTGTATAATGCTGGTATTGCCGTAAAACAGTTTATGTGCACTGATTGCAGATAGTGAGGGAAGGACCCCATTGCATTGGGCTGTGGATCGTGGGCACCTGAACATGACAGAGCTGCTAGTTAGCAAGAATGCCAATGTTAATGAAAAGGTAGATTAAAAGATAAACATTTACTTACGTTAGCAAAATTTGTTAAGTTTTTCCAAATCCCACCCCATCCCCCTTGTCATGCCATCCTAAAATTCTGTTCTTTTGGTCTTGGAAGGACAATGAGGGGCAAACCGCGTTGCATTACGCTGTTATGTGTGATAGAGAAGGCATTGCTGAATTTCTTGTGAAGCAAAATGCAGACACAAGTGCAAAGGACAACGATGGCAACTCTCCCTGTGATGTCTGTGAGTCAAACTGGCCTTGGTTTCAGGGTGCAAAGCAGAAGAGTCACTGACTGACCGTCGTTTATTTGAAACATTCACGGGGGATGTATATTCCTAATCTGTTCGTCTTTTAAAGAGATTTGAAAATAGAGCAGTATGTTGTGTATGTACGTAGTTTCTACCTCGTCGTTGTGTAACATTCTTTCGTTGGGTTACTCGTTTCCCCTATCGTAGAAGTGCAAAGAAAGGTTTAACTCCCTGGGTTTAACTGGCACAATATAATGCATATCGAGGGCCTACATTTTACCATCGATCTAATGTTTTTTGTTTTGTTTTAATATATATGAATTGCTGTCCTACTTACTATGTAAAAACCGTTTTATGTTCTTTATATAGCACAATAAAATCGCTGCAATGCTACGTAGCTATTAGTACTACGGGTTTTTTAATTGTTAGATTTGATTTCCGAAACTGTCTGATTTTATATTTTCACCTTCAGCTATTCGGTCTTCGTACCATTCAATGCGATGAGGTTACCAATTTAATTGTTACATGTCCAACTATGACAAAACAGTCCACACGGTAGTCCAGTACCATCTAATAATTTCTCGAGTGCGTCTGTTAGTTACTACAAACATGAAAACCTTAAATAAACCTGGACAGAGAGACAGACACCTGCCCGAGGTTTTGCTAAATTGGAACAAATAAAGATGTCCCCCCACCCGATCTCTGACGATAAAAGCAAAGGTGCTACATTACATCATATGTACCTCCCAATTTTAACGGTCACTAACCGTTTCTGCACCACCCAAATTATTCAGTTGGTCGTAGGCTGCTTATCATCACCACCTTTCCCCCCATGCTTTGGCTTCTTCTTCTTCTTTGATGCCAAACAATGGCGAAGGCAGTGGTCTACGCGCTACTTGCCACCGCCTTTATCTTTCTTCTCGTCATGCTTCCCTCCAAACACCGTGGCCCCAACCACCCCCACCCCCACCTTGGCCTCAACCGACGTCTTGGCTACGCGGGTCACGCCCCCATATTCGACCCTCTGGCAGCCAAGATGGAGTGGTACGCCAAGGAAAGTGGTGGATTAAGAGGGGAAACGAATAGTCACGTGGGGTTGTCGGAACAGAACAACAATCCCATGATGAATGCGAGTGAGGTGGAAGAAATGCATGAATATCTCGGCGATGAGGGAAAGTTGAACCTCACGTTGAGGCTGATTACTTTGTTCCCGTTGATAGACCAGGCGCCAAAAGACGGGTTGATTAACTCTAATGAGCTCGAGGATTGGGTCATGAAACAAACCGTGGAGAGGTTGAATTATAGGACGCAGAAAGAAATGGAATCGTATGACAAAGATGGTGATGGAACAATTTCTTTCATGGAGTATCTGCCCAAGTTTTCCATAAAGGACCTAGGTATTTAACTACGTACTTATTTCTTTATAAGTTTATGTGTGTGTGTGTGTGAATATACGTAGAGATTCTTTCTGCAGGATGTACTTATTTCTTTATAAGTACGTAGAGATTCTTTCTGCAGGACGTACGTATTGTCTTGAGGAAAGACATGACGTGTTGGAAAAACTTCTATTCAATTTCCTTCAACTTTGATCACGTGGGGGTGTGGAGATAACATTTGTTTTAGAGCTTTGAACAGTTTAGGTTTTAAGTATCTCGAATTCTGGTGAAACAGAGATAAACGGAATGGAGCACGGTGAAGCTGGATGGTGGAAGCAGCAGTTTGATAATGCAGATGCTGATAAGAATGGATTACTTAACTTCAATGAATTTAAAGAGTAAATTCCCTTCATTCCCATATTACCGTGGCAAAAAATATACGATTTGCGAGTTCTGGTTCAACAGAAATCTCCATTTTTTGTTGCAGTTTGTTGCACCCAGAAGACAGTAACAACGAAGAAATTCACAAATGGCTGTTGAGGGAAAAAATGAAGTACATTTTCTCACATATCTTCTCTGTCTTTCACACTAAACATATTAATGGCTTTATATATTTTCTGAATAATTTGATGCAAAGGAACGGATTAACGAAATGTCTGCTTATAATTTACAGGCGGATGGATCAGGATAACGATGGCAAACTGAATTTCCAGGAGTTTTTACACAACGCTTATGATAATTACAAGACTTACGTTGAATTTGAAAGGGGCGGGAAAAATGTACCCACACCGGAAGAGAAATTTGCAGAACTTGATGTGAACAAGAACAAGTATGCATGCATGCCTTGAACTTAAAGCTAACACATTTTTTGACCTAATTTTTTTTTCTTCCTTTGCTGGCTAATATTATAGTTTAGAGGACTTTACTAATGTCTTTCGAAATTGAAAAATGTTTGACAGACTCTTGGAAGTGGAAGAATTGAAACCAATGCTGCATTACATTCACCCAGGAGAATTTTCCTACGCTAAATATTATGCAACCTTTCTGATGTCGGAGGTTAGTAATGTTTCAATTTGTGTACTCCTATGTATGAGACATGTTGATATGAATTTGAAATGAAATGCGTGACATCGTTCGATTCAGGCGGATGATAACAAAGATAGAAAATTAACGCTCGAGGAGATGCTCGATCATGACTATGTTTTCTACAGCACAGTATATGATGACGGCATCAACGAAGATTTTGATGCGGATTTTCACGACGAATTCTGAAGCTTGATGCTCCCGAGAAATGGATTTTTCGATTAGTTTTGGCAGAAAGCTTATCCTAATTGTGTATTTGTTTTGTCATTTGAAAAATACAGCAAAATAAAATATTTTGCTTTCATTAGGTTGAGCATTGACTCAAATAGTAGTGGTGCGTAACTGGTATATACTTAGGATAGAAAATAGAGCGTTGTGTGAAAGGGTTTTACTAATTAGGAACGTTTTTGTTGGAAGCAAATAGAAGGAAATTACATGAACAATTCAGTTAGTTTCCTCTTCATATTCTCTCAGAACTGCTTTTTGTAGAATCGCTTGACTGTTATTTTCTCCTAAGAGATAAAAGAAGCGTAATGTGTCTGTCTCTTTGCATCAAAGTTTTAAACAAACAACGTGCCAAACCTCCTCACTCTTCCCTGTCTCATCATCTCCTGTTCCGGTTCATACAAGTCCTCATCATACTGCAAGTTTTCAGTACTTACCAGCTCTAGCTACCAAACTTCCTCACTCTTTCCTGTCTCATCCTCTCATGTTCCACCTCGTACGACGCCTCATCATGCTGCAAATTTTCAGTAGAAAACTGTTTCTGTACAAGCTAGCAATGGCATGGCATGCATTTAAAATTGGCAAATCATCCACTTGGTTCAGACTCCAGATGCAGTCGACCCAGACATCGATCAAATTAGAATTAACATTCATTCGTATGATCAGAGCAAGAGAACATTCTTTATGTTCCTAGGACAGCATGTGCAGTACGTTCGTACGTCTTGTAATAAGTCCAGCGAAAACAATTCTAGTGTTTCCTCACCTCAGGCGACTCTTCATCTCTCATCCTCATCATCCCACTCGGACATCATCTGCAAAAGTTTAGTACAAATCCACTTCAGTACAAACTAGCGTGCATTTCATATCAGGCGCATCGACTCCAGGAACAACTTCCACTTCGTATCGAAATAGTATCATCTTAAGTCATATATTTTTAGTTTGATAAAATGGAGCCTGATGTTTCCGGAGCAAAAGAACAGTGTATGAACCTAAAACGACAAATGTCTAATGCTCGAACAGTAAGCCTCACAAACACAGCGCAGAAGTGAAAAATCTTTCAAACAAAAGGCTAGTGAAACTTGGAATTACTAGAATTATTTTAACTACCTGCTCGCGTGTGGACGTAGTTGCATCTACACTGCCAGCATTCTACAGCAAAAAGAAATGCAAAATTCCAAGTGATTACAAGTTCGCAAAATGTACAGACAAGCTATATATAGAATAAATGCAATAGATTCACTTCATTTTTATCTTCTTCCTTTGCTGCCAATGATATAGTAAGAGAAATGTACCAGTATCTTTCGAAATCGAAAAATGTTTAACAGGCACTTGGAACCGGAAGAATTGAAACCAATGCTGCATTACATTCACCCAGGAGAATTGTCCTATGCTAAATATTGTGCAAGTTTACTCCTATCTATGAGACGTGATGAGATAAATACATGAAATCAAATGTGTGGCATTGTTCGATTCAGGCAGATAATAACAAAGACGGAAAATTAACAGCGGAGGAGATGCTGGATCATCATTATGTTTCTATAGCATAGTCTATGATGTTGGTGTCAACGACGATTATCACAACGAATTTTGAAGCATGATGGCCCAGAGAAATGCATTTCTTGATTCTCCAACTAGATTGCAAATTTCACCAAAAAAACAGAATAAACTTACCATGGTTTGTCAACCAAAAAAATATTAGGGTTGAGGATCCAAGATTATGAGCGCATGAGTTCTTAACAACTTGAATAACGAGCTCTTTGCTATCTATACTATGATTTAGAAGCGTTTTTTCAACCAGAGTATAAAATACAATGATTCAAACTTCATTGTAACTTCAATGAGTTTGCATGCGTCGAGGGGAGAATCAAACTCCAAACCAAATCTCATACATTGACCAACTGATCCTACTCACGTCAGCTACCAACCGTAAATACAAATCAGTTACTTGGCCCAGAATAAAAATTCAAACTAATGAGAAGCCCAAGCTATTCTCCAAAAGAAGGCCCCATAACTTTCGATACCAAGTCAATTCATACGAAAACCAATTTCCGGAAAGGCGTACGATAATAGGCCCCACAAAACAAAATTATTGCAGCCGATATTTTTTTGAAAAAAAAAAAAAGAGAGAGAGAAGAAAGAAAAAGTTGATAGCTTTCTGCAATCCGAGGCCATCGTAGCAATTTGCTTCTCTGCCCTCTGCGTCTGTCTCTGTTGCTGTCTCCGAGGAAGACTTTCTGCTCCCGATCCACGACCGTTCGACCACGTTAAGGTTCTTTTATTTTTGCTTTTCAGGTAATTTTATCGCCGTCCTGTTCCGGAAACCTCGATTTTGTTTCAGTGGTAACTACGTTTGTGCGTACTGTCGTGTTGTTGTCTGATCCTGATTGTTCCGGTTCGATTCGCTGAATTTGAATTTGATGCGTAAAATTTTCGAGTAATTTGATGGCCTAGGATTGCGTTTTGTGAATTTTAGCTTCGTTTTTGTTAAGGTTTGTTGGAGATGTATGCAATTTTGTATGAAGTTTCATTCGATCCATGAAATTGTTTGTGTTTGGTTATGTTTTGGATTTCTTGGCGGGGGATATGTTCGGTTGTGGATTTGTTTGTGCATAAGTAGGGTTTTTGCTGATTAGATGGAGTAGGGTTTCTTGTTGCTTGCATTTGGCGCAAAACCGAGCGCAATGACATTATAGGATTCATATAGCCGACCCCATTTAGTTGGATAAGTCTTGGCTGTTATTGTATATGTATATATGTATACGTATACACGCCATATTGTATGGGTAGTAAATTTCTTTTATGTTGAAATTTGGTTTCCTGATAATTTGCGGTGTTCCAGTAAATGTTGTTTCCTGCCAAGTTTGTGTGTGTATTGCCTACTGATTTAGATTGTTAAATAGATGCATCAGTAAACTTTGCAGTGCATTGGTGAATGGTTTTCTGGGCAAAGTCGGGGGTTTGCTGTTTCAGTTAGACATCTTTCTGTAAACCAAGTTGGTGGAACGGAGAAGATTTTCTGGCGTAATAGTTTTCTATTCTTGCGTGATGTTAATATTTTCTGAATCTGATTTTCAACAGTTTTTCAGTCTCTGTAAAATGCTATGATTTAATTGTCTTCTATCTTGTATTTCTCCAATATGTCTAAACAATTAAAATTTACACTCGCAGATACTATACATCGATGGAAATTACCCAGGTGCTGCTGAATGCTCAATCTATAGATGGAGCTGTACGGAATCAAGCTGAAGAGAGTTTGAAACACTTTCAGGAGCAAGATCCTCCATCGTTCTTGTTGTCTCTTTCTAGAGAGCTAGCAAATGAAGAAAAACCTGTTGAAAGCCGTAAATTAGCAGGTCTGATACTGAAGAATGCCCTGGATGCTAAAGAACAACCTAGAAAGTTGGAGCTTGTTCAAAGATGGCTTGCATTGGAAACTTCTGTGAAAGCGCAGATTAAGATGTTCTTGTTACAGACACTCGCTTCCTCTGTAGCTGATGCTCGTTCAACTACCTCTCAAGTTATTGCAAAGGTTGCGGGCATTGAGTTGCCCATGAAACAGTGGCCGGAACTGATTGGATCACTATTGTCGAATATTCATCAGTTACCAGCGCATGCAAAGCAAGCTACTTTAGAGACTCTTGGGTATTTGTGTGAGGAAATCTCTTCTGATGTCGTGGATCAAGATCAGGTTAATAAAATACTGACAGCTGTAGTTCAGGGTATGAACGCATCCGAAGGGAGCAATGATGTTAGGCTTGCTGCTACCCGAGCACTGTACAATGCTTTGGGTTTTGCTCAGGCCAATTTTAGCAATGATATGGAGCGTGATTATATTATGAGAGTTGTCTGTGAGGCAACTCTGTCCCCTGAAGTGAAGATTCGACAGGCAGCTTTTGAGTGTTTAGTCTCCATTTCTTCATCTTACTACGAGAAATTAGCCCCTTACATTCAGGACATATTTAGCATCACAGCAAAAGCTGTAAGGGAAGACCAGGAACCTGTTGCTCTTCAAGCCATTGAATTCTGGAGTTCGATTTGTGACGAGGAGATCGATATATTGGAAAATTATGTGGGTGATTTTAGCGGGGATTCTGATATTCCTTGCTTTTACTTTATCAAGCAGGCAATCCCTGCCCTCGTCCCTATGCTTTTGGAGACGCTTCTTAAGCAGGAAGATGATCAGGAGGAAGATGGGGCTTGGAATATTGCTATGGCTGGGGGGACATGCCTTGGGTTGGTTGCTCGGACAGTGGGAGATGATATTGTTCCACTTGTTATGCCTTTCATTGAAGAAAACATAACAAAACCAGATTGGAGGCAAAGAGAAGCAGCTACTTATGCGTTTGGTTCCATCTTGGAGGGTCCTTCGGCAAACATGTTAACGCCTATTGTAAATGTTGCTTTGACGTTCATGCTCAGTGCTTTAACAAAGGACCCAAATAACCATGTGAAGGACACTACTGCTTGGACATTGGGAAGAATTTTTGAATTCCTTCATGGTTCAACTATGGATACACCCATAATTACCCCAGCAAACTGCCAACAGATTATAACAGTTCTTCTTCAGAGCATGAAAGATGTTCCAAATGTTGCTGAGAAGGCATGTGGTGCTCTCTATTTTCTGGCCCAGGGTTATGAGGATTTTGGCCCATCATCTTCCATTGCCCCTTTTTTCCAGGAAATTGTACAGGCTCTACTCACTGTTACTCACAGACCAGATGCTGGGGAATCACGATTAAGGACTGCTGCATATGAAGCATTGAATGAAGTAGTCAGGTGTTCGACTGATGAAACTGCCCCCATGGTGTTGCAACTTGTTCCTGTTATCATGATTGAACTGCATCAGACTCTTGAGGGCCAGCAGCTTGCATCTGATGAGAAAGAGAGGCAGAGTGAATTACAAGGACTTCTTTGTGGGTGCTTACAGGTCATTATTCAGAAACTAGGTTCATCAGAGCCCACGAAATATGTGTTCATGCCATACGCAGATCAGATAATGGGACTTTTCTTGAGGGTATTTGCTTGTAGAAGTGCTACTGTCCATGAGGAAGCCATGCTTGCCATTGGGGCCGTTGCATATACAAGTGGCCCGGATTTTGCAAAGTACTTGCCAGAGTTTTACAAGTATCTTGAAATGGGGCTTCAAAATTTTGAGGAGTACCAAATCTGTGCTATCACAGGTTGGTGTTGTAGGGGATATTTGTAGAGCAGTGGAAGATAAGATTCTGCCTTATTGTGATGGAATTATGACCCAACTTCTCAAGGATCTGTCAAGCAACCAGTTGCACCGCTCTGTAAAGCCTCCTATATTCTCCTGCTTTGGTGATATAGCTCTTGCAATAGGAGAGAACTTTGACAAGTACTTGATGTACGCCATGCCAATGATTCAGAGTGCTGCAGAGATGTCTGCCCACACTGCGGGTGGTGATGATGAAATGACAGAGTACACCAATTCTCTGAGGAACGGAATCTTGGAGGCATATTCTGGGATTTTCCAAGGTTTCAAGAACTCCCCGAAAACACAGGTTTTGATATCTTATGCTCCGCACATCCTGCAGTTCTTGGATAGCATATACAGGAGGAAAGACATGTGAGTTGATCTACTGTTTCGTTGGTACTACAAAATTACAATTTTTTGTTGTGTTTTTCTGACATTTTGTTTGTTTTAATTTACTTGCATGTAGGGATGAAGTGGTGATGAAAACAGCCATTGGTGTCCTTGGAGATCTAGCAGATACACTGGGAAGTAATGCAGGTTCTTTGATACAGCAATCTCAATCGTGCAGAGACTTTTTAAATGAGTGCTTGTCTTCCGAAGACAATTTGATTAAAGAATCTGCAGAATGGGCCAAGATGGCCATCAGTCGTGCCATTTCAGTTTGAAGCCATTGCCACTCTGTATATTCTATTTGTTTGGAAGTCCCTGCATGCATTTGGGTGTGTTGAGTCGGGTCATAGGATTGCATGTGTCAAGCATCGCTATTTTCAGACAACCGAAGCTGTCCGTCTTCAAGTTGTCACTAACTTGCATCATCTCCAAAAGTTGTGACTAACAATTGCATCAGCGCCGAGGGCTTGGGTCCTGGTTTTGTCAAGGAGGAAGAGTGGGGGTAGTGAGTGTTGCAGAAGTGGGTTAAGGCCTGCAATCAAAACTAACAAAATTCTGTGGATCACAGATTATGTGGCATCGGAGGGGAAGGTAAGTGACATTCATGAAGTCCACATTTCTGTGTCACTGAGGTGAATTGCGCTCTGAACGCCAAACAAGATCTTGTTAATCCATACCACCACCCCTGATGATTTCCTCCAACGAGATTGGGGTCAGAATGGACGAACAATGCCTAATTTTGTTCGGTGCTGGCGTCTTATCACTAACCCCAAGTGCCGTATTCCTGAAATCCTCCATAGCAGGTCTTCATTCCTGAATTCCGTCCCCTTCTGTCATCTTGTTTGCATCTCATCATATTTTTGCTTGTCTTAGTTCATATTCCAGAGTATTTCCTTAGCAAGCGAAACTACCTCTGGTTCGCCCGAGGTTTGAGCGTCACCATGAACTCGTGGAAACGCAAATCCTACATTGCATCGCTCATATTCATATTGATCATTGCTAGAAGGTCAAGTTAGTTATGTGTCGCATACCATATGCATTCATAAATTCATTGTTACGTCGCGTTTTGAAAGACATACGATATTTTTCTTCTTCTTTTGCTTGGGGAACATGTAATCATATTTTTTTTTGGGTCATGTCCGCCTTTTCGAAGTTTGTTACGATTAAACGCCGCGAATTGTGGTGGCATAGCGAGGATTATTTTGTTGGGAAGTTTGGGAGAGGCATTGTATTTGTTTATCGGCCTCAGGTCATGTGTTGTTTATAACTGGTCATTTTTCAGAATTTAATGCATAAGCTATAAATAGTTTGATTGAATTATTAATGTTGTGGCTTGAGATTTTTGCATTGGAAAACCCTGGACATATATTGACCGAGTAAAAATTTCGCCTTATTTAAGCTTGGATGTTTTGATGATTTTTTTTGAGTGCTGATAATCGTTCCGTAATTTTAAACGAACTTTACATAAAATGAGAATTAAAATGATTTTGGTTTTGATTTTGGTTTTTCTATGTTTACGGTACGCATTTGAAAGTTCAAGAATCAGATCGATTAGGGAGCTAGTTGGTTTATAGATTCCATTCCAATTCTTGTACCTTTTCGATTCATCTCTCCTCGTTCTAAATAAGTAAACGTGAAATTAATTCATGTAAGTTTCCAAATGGAAAAGAAAATGGTAGGTTTTCAACTTTCGACTTTGAAGGCTATTCAAAAATTCAAAGGTGGGTGGTGTGAGCTTTTGTGATATGACTGCCACCAATACAATACAACCACTTTTACATACTCAGCATCGTTTATGGCAGTGGTACTGGTATCCCCCCGCCACACCATGTGAGGTCAATCGTGACTGAGACCTCATAAAACCAAAACCAAACGAAGTGGATTTGATGTTATTAAATAGAACGGTCTTGTTTGGTAAGTAAGGTGGAATCGGAATGGATAACTCTTTACTTTTAAGGTATGTAGAAATGAAAAATGAAAAAAAATTATGTGCAATTTAAGGGTGGAACATAAATTATGTGTAAAGAAAAATACATTCCAATATCCTCTTTAAAATGAAAGATTCGAAGGCGTGAGTGTTTTTTTGTGTCCATTTCAGAATCCAAATCACTCACTTTAGTTTTTAATATGCTTTGATATTATAAAGTTATCATTTTCAATTCAATATTCCGTACTAAGCGAGTTCCTAAAAAAAAAGAAAAGAGAAGGGTACAAGGGGGAAGACATCATATGACAATAAGCAATCCAAAATGAATAGAAAGTACCACTTTCTGTTTAAGCAGTCATGTGGTGGGACAATGATTGTCTGTCCTCCCACTTCCAGTACCCTTCCGTGTCCTTCTATTTGTGTGGTCACGGTTATGCTACGTCAATATTTTATATTACTATTCATTTTTGTCTTATTATCTCTATAAAAAAATAATATAAAATGTTGACGTGACTTAACCGTGACCACACAAAACAGAAAAATACGGAAGGACACTGAAATTGGAAGGGCAGACAATCCTTGTCCCATGTGGTGACACCAAATCCTGTAGAGAAAGCACTAGATTTCTCTCTCATCCATGTTACGGACTATGGACTAAAATCTTCTTGCTTGACTTCAAAATCTATTTCTTACTTTCATTCCCATTCTGTCGCACATAAGTCCTTCTTGGTAAATGAGAGTATTTACTTACACGAGATATTCTACTGAGAATGATATATTTTAAGTCAATATGTGCTAATTAACATGCGTTTTTACTTCCGCACTTGATATGACCATGAGCGTTCTTGTTGCATCACTTTTTTTTTTTTGTTTGTTTTCCAAATGGAAAAAGATTATGTGAGATTAGTTTTTCAGCAATGATTGCATGCGAGACACATACTCTCCCTCGAAGGCATGAGGACCATTACACCCAGAAACCCTATGGTCAACCCTTCTCCACCAAATTTATTGATAATAAATGAAAGTAAACGAAAAAGATGCTGAGGGATTATGCTAAGACTTGTAAAAACTAAACCATTTTTACATGGTATTTTCCCCGACAACCTAGAACCGTTGCCACGGAGTTTAATTTGTGGATCACCAACCTGCAAACACCATCAATACCAATATAAACTCTCTTGGGAGATGATTAATTAGTGAAACTTTTCTTTGTTGTCTTAAATAGTTTAATTTGTTGGATTATATAATATTGGACCATGTTGGTGTTGGTGGTACTGCAAAATTTTGACTTGTTCCCCTCACACTATGATGTTAGTGCTCTCCCTCCCACTAGTGTGGGTCACCAACATATTAAAGTTCAACCCTCCTACCCTCTTCTTTCTTCCCATTGGATTTTCATGTTGTACTCCACTCTAGGTCTATGCTTGCTTGTCTTCATCCATTGACTAACCAGAAAGTATATGAGGACCTAAATTAACCACATTTCACTCATGGTGTTTGGTTTCTTTGGTACCACGGAAAATGAAACCCATGAGAAAGAAAGGATTTGCAAAGTCCTATAGAAAATGATGTCTTAAAAAGCAAAGTTCCATTACGAAATTCACTTATAGATGAGGAAACGTAATTGACCTTCTCAAATAAAAGGATGTCAATACTTTTCTGTATCTCTTTAGAGAAGAAAGACTTCAATAGAACTACCTGATCACGTTACTGATCAGATACTCTTACAAAATAAGACTCATACTTTTGGAAGTTAAATCAAACAAGAGTCGGATGGTACATACATAAGAAAGACCTGCACCTTTATGAAAATAGCTAACCTAATCAGCCATGTGATCAAAGTGCCCTACCGAAATTTATAATTTAAAAAAGAAAAGTCTAGGATTTTTGCGGTATTCATCACACAATTTCACTGCAGACCATGAGCCCGACAATTCTACTTAGCTTATTATTTTTACTGAAACAATGGACATGCACTTGGAAAGTACATATGGCAACCATTGAAACAATGGGAGCACATCTAAATAAAATAGCCTCGACTGCTCTCCTCTCACTATATATGCAATATCTATGTATCAGTGTCGGCAGATAAAATAATAGTGAAGACAGGAAAAGAAGGAAGCAAATTAACATATTAAAAAGGTGATAAAAACCCAAAAAGTAGGCAGAAAATGGCTAGAATTTGAGCCATGCAATGCAAAGAATATTGTTTGCTCTTGTGTCCATATGCATAAGAAAGATGATGACAAAAGAAAGGAAATAGCAAGAAAGAAATAGTAGTGCAATTGACTTATGTGTTGTGGGCTAGCTAGCTAAAACCCTACACCAATATTTGATCATCAGTCTGTTCCTGTCGGGAGATCGAGTTTTTGGTACATTAATGGAATTGTTGTTTTTTTTGTGATTGAAAGGCCACAGGTTCTATCGTGGAAACATCATTTTTGCAAAGTAAGGTACCCTCCTCGTCCGCCCCCAACCTTCGTAAAATGCGGAACCTTGTTGTCTTGTGATCATCTTTTTTTTTATTCTGTTGCTAGTGGATGGTGGAGAAGGAGAAGTGCACACGGTTGAATTACCAACATCTCTCTCCCCAACCCTCGTAAAATGCGGAACCTTGTTGCCTTGTGATCGTCTTTTTTTTTTATTCTGTTGCTATTGGATGGTGGAGAAGGAGAAGTGCACACAGTTGAATTACCAACATCTCTCTCTCTCTCTCTCTCTCTCTCTCTCTCTCTCTCACTCTCACTCTCACTCTCATAGCGTATATGCTTCCACTCACTCCCCAACTCTGACTCAAAATGAGCATAAAAGCCCACCCGCTCTCACCTCCCCTTGCTAAGATTCATCACCATTTTAACTTATTGAGAGGAGAAGAAGAGAAACAAAAGAAGAAGAAAATAAGCAATGGCTTTTAGAATCAATGGGTTTCTTCTTCTACAAGTGCTATACCTCTCAGCACTTCTCATAATTCCTTTATCTTCAGGTGAGCGTATTGCAGCGTACTTAGTTTTGTGTACAAGTGATATGTTACCTTAAACTAATCTAAATTGTTGGGAGGGGAATTCAAACTCGGGGGCATAGGGGAGCACTTCCGTTCTACGTTAAATCCCATACGGGAGCATAGTAAGCTGACATAAGTACTCTTTGTAGGCATTGTTACTGAAGGCTTCAAGGATGGCATGGATCCCATTAACTTGTTTCACAAGGTAGAATATCTGCTATTGTTTGTTCTAGTAGTTTTTATTATAAACTAATGGGACATAAATTATCATGAATTTTACAAATCATGCTTAATTTATCTTGCTAACAGCAAATTCTGTATGTTTTTGAAGAATGACGTCGAAATCATTTCGAGGAAGATTCGGAGGCTCGATGCAACAATGCTGGACTACGGCGATGCAGGATCCAACCCTAGGCACGACCCTAGAAAGAGGACCGGCAATGGCGGGAACCCATGAGACTGCCGTAATAGCAATCCAAGGTTTTGGTCACGTATAAGCAGACCTAATATAGGAATCCGAACGAGTTTCTTCATCGATACATATGTATGTATGTATGTATGTATGTAAGCATGCATTGTATGTATGTATGTATGAACGTATGTACCTACATATGTATGTACATACGTACGTGCGTATGTATGTATGTATAAACTAGTTTGTGTGTTTGTGGACATAGGAATACAAATATCTTTGTACCATATTCTTCCTGTGGATTGCTGCTAATCGATCGTCTTTATGTACGAGAGTGTAAATATATACCCTTGCTATTGCTTTGGTTAGGTGACGCGGCACGAAGCAAAACGATTACAAACATAAATCCTTGAAGAATCAAAGTTTGGAATCCACCATTGAGGGAAATTCTGAAAGGTTTTTCTTTATTAAAGATTGAATTGATGATTATAATGAAGCAGCCCCAATGACTTGAATAAACAGATTACAACTCCTTGGGACAACTCAAAGGGTTTAGGTAATTAAAACAAAAACAAACGACATTATCAGACGGAAATAGAAATGTCCGATTTTTACTACAGAAATTAAAACACAACTTTGGAGGCTGAAACAACATCGGATAGCTAAAATCCATCTTATATCCAAATTGGAGCTATGACACCAAATCTGCAAATTTCCGCTACGTCCTTTTCTCTTCCAACATTCCATTTCATCTCCAATTCACTCGGCCAGCTGTTCTACAGGGGTGGGCAATGGATGCATACCCCAATAGAGGCGCCCCAATGTGTAAAAGAAGTGTAAAAAGTGGGTGGGCAATGGATGCATACCCCAATAGAGGTTCCCCAATGTGTAAAAGAAGTGTAAAAAGTTACGGCAGAACACCGCCGAAAATTGTATTAAAATATGGTGAGGTTCGACTGTGTTCTCCCATAACATTT